CTTGACGAATTATGAATTTCTTTTTGGTGTTTTCTGTTTATTTCTGCTTCTTGTATTTCTGAAAAACAGTAACAAATTCTATATCTTTGTTTTATATCTTTTGGATGCAACATTGTCTTATTTTTTTATTAAACTTGTTTAACAAATCCAACCTAAGCATATAAAATCAGTACAAATAATAAAACACCAAGAGATACCTATATACACAAAACCTAAAAGATTGGTTCAACACAAACTCTGTAATTGAAGAATCGGATCTATCTAGATTTATAAAACATCAGTTTAGAAGAGTTAGCTTCTCTGAATTAATCTGCAGGCAAATCTGATGTAACTAACCGGATCTTCTCAAGCTTTGCAGACCAATTTCCCCCGAGTATCAACGGATTCGACTCCATAGCTACTTGAAAATCTACCAGAGAAAATGCTGAAGAACGTACTTCTCCTCGGCTACTAGACCTCGAAGCCGCTAATTCTAGACACGGTTTGATCAATCTCTTCAAGAAAAGATCGAGCCCCGCGTTTAACGAGTTAACAAACCCAACCGAAACCTCTAAACCTTCCTCCATTATACTCGAATCATCTTCGAGTTTCTTCTTTAAAGAAACAGAGTCAGGAAGCTCACCAGAAGAGTAACAAGTCCTTATCCGAACCTGTTTCTTTATCACATCTCTCAGGTTAACACCAAAGGGAGCTTCAATAGGTTGACTTTTCCAACATCGAATCAATTGGTCAACTTCTTCGCCATCTTCCATTGACCATTGTTGTTGTCTACAACTAGAAGAAACAACCTCAGTGATCTGACTCTTTCCTTTGCTTCCATTACAATCCTTAAACCTCCGAACTTGAGTCCTTCCTTTACGAGGCGATTTAGGTAAGTCTTTACACAAAGATTTGAAACCAAGACTTGTCTGAAAAACACCATTCAATTGCTTCTTCTCCTTCTCTAATGGAGGTGTCTTTGATTGACATACATTCTTAATAATCCCTCTAAGCAAAGCATTGTGTAGACTGATATTCTCCTTCTTCACAGTTGCAATGATTAGCTTATCGAAATCATATTTGCTGATTTTCAAGCTCAAGAATTTCGACAAGAGATTCAGATAGGTTTCAGTTTTGACCCGACCAATCTTCTTCTCAATCAGAGATCTTAACTCCAAAATGTCTGTCTTAACGAAATGATGCTGACTCGTTGGCATTTGGGTCCCTCGAATTTCCCTTTAAACAAAAACCAAAAAAAAAAACACAGAATTTCACACACAATACTGAATCTGGATCCGTATAAGTCAAATCAGGAGAAGAAAAAGGTCAACCCAAGTTACGGTACACTAAAATTGATGAAATTGAGATCGGAATTACAAAACCCAGATTGGAAATCGTCGGATTAAGTAACTTTTTCGAGTTCATTTGAAATAGTTTTCGATACTCAAAAAATGGAACACTGAACAGTAAACCTACCAACATAAAAAATCACAGTTTTCGATTCCCGAGAGAAACAGCAAACAACAAAAACTCCATAATTTCTCAGTAAAAGTGAAACACGAATTCGTTTCTACAGATTCAACAAAAATACACTGAGAATAAAGTAAAGGTACGATTAAAAACTGCCAAATTTGGACTAACCTTGAGAAGAAGAAGACCAGTGAGAGAAGACAAACAAA